GAGGCCGCGCTTGCGTGCGGCTGGGGCACAGCAGCTGCTTTGGGTCCGGGTCGGGGTCCGGCCCGGAGGTGGCGTGTAGGCTGCGCGCCCATCGCTTCGTTCTGTTTCCAGGTCACAGGGAAATGGAGGACGAGGACGTGTTATCCCGGCTCGTCGGGGACACGCCCCCTTCGTCGTTTCTGAGAAGCAGCAGATGGGGAGGTGACGAAGCCACCACCACCTATGACTACGATTTCAGCCAGCCCTGCAGAAAGGAGGACGTGCGGCAGCTCGCAGCCTGGATCCTGCCCCCGCTCTACGCGCTGGTGGTCGCCGTCGGCTTCGTGGGCAACGTCCTGGTCGTGCTCATCCTCGTCACCTGCAAGCGGCTCAGGAGCATGACCGACATCTTCCTGCTCAACCTGGCCGCCTCCGACCTGCTCTTCCTGCTCACGCTGCCCTTCTGGGCTCACTACGCCGCCGCCTCCCAGTGGACCTTCGGGGCCGCGGCCTGCAAACTGCTCACGGGGCTGTACCAGGTCGGCTACTTCGCGGGCATCTTCTTCATCATCCTCCTCACGGTCGACAGGTACCTGGCGATCGTCCACGCCGTGTTCGCTCTGAAAGCCAGGACGGTCACCTTCGGGGCGGCGCTCAGCGGGCTCACCTGGGTGGTGGCCGCGCTCGCTTCTCTCCCGGGAATCCTCTTCGCCACATCGCAGGAGGAGTCGTTAAACCTTCACACCTGCGGCCCCCACTTTCCACACAAGTGGAAGATCTTCCATAGGCTGATGAGGAACGTCCTTGGGCTGGTGCTGCCGCTGCTGGTCATGGTCGTGTGCTACTCGGGCATCCTGCGGACCCTGCTGCGGTGCCGGAACGAGAGGCGCAGGCACAAGGCCGTGAGGCTCATCTTCGCCATCATGATCGTCTACTTCCTCTTCTGGGCCCCGCACAACGTCGTGCTCCTCCTGAACACCTTCCAGGTGTTCTTCGGCCTGGACGACTGTGACAACGGGAGCCGGCTGGACCGGGCCATGCAGGTGACGGAGACCCTGGGCATGACGCACTGCTGCGTGAACCCCGTGATCTACGCCTTCGTGGGGGAGAAGTTCCGCAGGTACCTCTCGGTGTTCTTCCGCAAGTACGTGGCCAAGGGCCTCTGCAGGCAGTGCCCAGTTTTCTACCGGGAGCCAGCAGAGCGCGCGAGCTCCACCTATACCCCGTCCACTGGGGAGCAGGAGTTCTCGGCTGGCTTGTAACATGGGCCCCAGGTGGCCCGTCGTGTTTGAGGGGAGACGGCCACCATATGTGGTGACAGGTTTCAAGGGCTTGTTGGTGACCAGAGACCTCGAAATGAAGTGCCCAGGAGCCTCGGGGCTGTGCCCAGATAGACTGTGTCACTGCTTATAGAAAGGGAACAGACCAGAAGAACTGTCATGAGACCTTGGATCGCCATCAAGCTCATCTGTTTCTGGAAAACAGTGCTTCCTTGCCTCGGGCTGATGCTTTTTCCAAACTTCACCTTTCATTCTCTATTTCTATCCGTCTCTGATTAACCAATGTCCCCCACCTCAGTGGGGAACAGAGTGGGACAGGCCTGGGATGGACTGGGATAAGGGGACCCAGGGTCCAGGCTGCATGTGGGAGGAGGGGATGGAGGCAGAGGTGACCAAGGAAGTGGCCCTGGCCCTTGGCCCCATCTCCCACCTCAACGTGACTTTGAAGACCCCACCAGTCATGGAAACTTTGCGAGCTTAATCATTTTTGGGGAGTCTGGATGGATCAGGTGGTCTCTTATTCACAAGTGCAGGGCACGTTTTGCTTTATATGGTTCATCCATGACAACCAAGTAGCCTACCTTCAAAGGAAACCACACCCCTGTTGGCTCCTGCATGGTTATAGGAAGGGACCTTCCATCCTGGGGGCCTGGGGCACGTCCTCAGGAGCCTGAGGCACAAGTAACAGTTGCACATCTCCTCTGCAAAGTGTGGCATCTCCAGGCCTCTGAGCAAGATTCTAGATGCACTGAGGAGAGGTGTTTCCCAGACCACCTTCCAGAGCCTGACGTGGATACAGACGCAGAGCTCAGACGTTTAAAAAAAAAATAGGAAAAGTAAAATTAAGGCTGAAGCAGCAAATAGCCAATATGACGGAGTCTTTAAGAGTTACCGTGGGGCCGAGCCTGGAATGCTGTAGTAGCCACAGAGATGGTGGTGACTTGATGGGGAAAACATAAAGCCTGTTGTGTGCTTGAGGACCGCCTGCCGACCGGACATCAACAGCTCTGGGTGAACCACGGGACTCGGGGGTCTGTGGGCTTGTGGCCAGGCGCCACGTGGCGTCTACGCAGGAATATTAGTGGGGGTTATAGCATACGCCCCACCAGCACCGTCTCACTGTGGTTTGACCCTCTCAGATATCTTTTTGGGATCATTAGGAAGCCATGGATGTAGCCCTATCCGACTCTCTCTGTGTTGTAGGTGTCCTTGTCCCCTGGTGGCCAGCAGGAGTTCTGGAGTCAGTTCCCCCTCATCAGAGGTGTGGAAGTCTGCAGAGGAGAGAGATGGAGGAGCTGGCTGGGGAAGCGAGGACCTTCTGCCCTTGGCTGGAGAAGGTTTCAGAACAGAAGGGGGATGGGATCGTGTCACCCACTAAATGTGTGCCATTGTGTTTTAATACATACTGTTCTTTTAAATGATGCTTTGGAAAATAAATGACCACTCTAACTGTTGTTTAAAAGATTAAAAGACGATCGCCTCTTTTGCTGTGGTGTGGTCAGCTGTGCTCTGTTCACGATTTGTTTCTCCCTCTGGGCAATGACTAGCAACTGTGACTGGAGCCCAGGTGACAGCAGCCTCATCCTACAGAGACTCAGTGTGGCCATGTGGGCCCTCCTCAGCCATCACAGGGCTGGTCCTGCTCACGCCTTCAGCCCCACACCCAGGAAGCACAGCACACAAGGGAGGAAGGGAGGCACCCGGGACCCCGACCCCAGAAGTCCCGTCTGCAATGTGGATCCTGAGTTTGGGGGGCCGTTTGGGGCCAAGTGACATGTGTGTGGGGTTCCACGAGTGCCGTATGTTCGCCCTCATGGAGTCTGGTGTGACAGGCAGCGCGGGGTCAGCCCTGTGCCGGCTGGGTCCAGAAGGTAAAGGTGGCTGCCAATCCGTGTCTGCCCGTTACACCTCCCCGTCCCCGCCTGCTGCTGGTGGGCAGAGGACAGACTTACAGCCAGTGTGCAGTGCTCGAGAGAGGGGAACAGTGGCTGCGTCCAGCATGGCCTTGCATCACAGGGCAGTCCCTCTCACGAGGCCGTGCCTTGGGGACCCCATTAATGTGACCCACTCATGTGGAAAGGGTCCTGTCCTCCCTGATGTTTCAGCCGGGTCTGGACCAGGAGGGTCAGCGCTGTTCTCGCTCCACTTGGCATCCTTGGGCATGGGCTGGGTGGAGGACAGGAAGAGGGCACTGTCCTTGTACCCAGCTCTCAGCCATCACCTGCTCCAGAGAGCCCAGAGCTGGCAGGGGGCCCCAGACACTCCTTAGACTGCAAAGTCTCGCTTTGGCTGGATGTCCACCCTCCTCGGATGCAGCCCAGGGCAGGTGCATCTCAGGAACTTGACTGTTGCCTCATCGACCTCTTCCCGTCCCCACCCACCCCTCTCTTCCTTACCCTCTGTGTACCTGGCCCACTGCCTCCAGGGAACCCTTTCGGCCAGTCCCCATTCCTCGCCCTGGATTTGAGCAGAGAGGCCCCTCTGCTCCCGCACATGCCTTAATCCCTTCCCTCCCCTCACCAGTCCCAGTGCAGGCTGGGTGGGATTAGTCACTTGACAGGGGGCCTGGGGCTGGTTTCGTCGACCCCTAGTGGGCCCTGCGGAGTCCTCTGGCCCTAGAGGTGGCTTTCCACCTCTAGAAGTGTGGGGCATTTACTTCTCTGCTCTGGGCCTTAGAGCATAGTCATAATACTATAACTTCCTGTGTGCACGGAGTGAAGCACAGAGCTGCAGGTGAGAAGGACTCTTTAGTCAGGACACTGGACTTTTGTCACTGTTCCTGAGCCTGCATTAGACCGAGGCTGGCACTGACCTGAAAGAAATCTCCCAAAGGCACAGGGCTGGCTGCTGCACAGAGTTAAGAGGCATCTGCATGGACAGATCTCTCAAGCGGGGAGCAGACAGACTGCAAGCATCTACTTGCTATGTTGCTCTGCACAGGAAGGAAGTGGCCCTGGGGCCGGGAAGAGGATGAGATGGGAACAAAGAAATAGCATGGTGACCCCACAACCCGCCTGCCCTGGCAGACGTCCCAGGTGGAAGGTGACGGCTGGCTCTGCCCCCACCAGGCAGGCTGGGGCTCAGGAGATCCAGGCATCGCTGCGGAGGGGCCCAGAAGACACAGTGTGACACTGGGTGGGGTGGGGATTCTTCCTGTTTCTGTGAGGATCATGGGGATGCTCCAGCTTTCCTGGCAAAGGTGGCTTTGGGGACACTGACGAGACATCGGAGTGTAGACTGGGATAATCGGTACAACACTGTGTGTCCGCGAACAACAGAAAGAGCCTGGCCGTCTGACAACAGGTCTCTGTTAACTCAGAGTGGCGATGAGCAAAAGGAGCCGGAACAGCAGCTGTGATTCCCTCTAGAGAAAGTTTAAAAACAGGTGCGCTTAATCCGCATGAAGTCAGAGCAGCTTTGCCCTCCATGCCAGCAGAGGGCACCTTCCCGGGGGTGGAGAAGGTGTTCCTCATCCTCCATGTGGGCGGAGCGTCCCTGGCTGCAGGCAGATTAAAACTCACCAAGCCGATCCGAGTGCCTTGTTTCACCAGAGGCTCAGCAAAAGTAGCAATGAAAGGTGGGCCGGGGATTTAGTTTAGTGGTTCTGACGCCTGCTTCACATGCAGGAAGGTCCTGAGTTCGATCCCCAGTACCAAAAAAAAAAAGTAGCAATGAAAGGATCGCATTGAAATAGAATTTTAAGAGCACAAGGAAACGCCTATATTGTGATCCAAGACAAGGAAAGAGTAAAGAGCAGCAGCGCAGAGAGGGTAATTATCCCAAAGGCAGGCCCGGGAAAGGTCAGGGTTGAAGCATTGTGTTCTGAGATTACGAACGTTTTCCCCATTTCGTATCATGAGCACGTGTTGGTCTCCCAATCAGACCTTCATTTTTAGAAACGAAAGATCGGCTGCTGGGTTTACAGCCCACCTCAGCGTTGAGTGGCGTTGAGCCAGGGCAACTCAAGCCCTAGGAGTTTCCCAGAGCCGCCGTGGCTCATCGTGCCCGTCCGGTGGTCAGCTGTCCCCAAGCCAAGCAAAGGACCAGCGTGCTCCCATCTTGCTGCTCCTGCTCTGAGCGCCGTCCAGGGGTGGCCGTGGGCGAGGAGAGAGAAACGGACCTCTGAACATGGGCCCAGTGGTGAGTAGGCGGGACAGTGCCCGAAGGAGGGCGGCATGAGACACCCACCATGTGGGCCTCGAGTCTGATCGAAAAGTCGTCTCCTGTGGGAGTCTGGAGGTGACACCTGCCCAGTGCATCCTGCCCAGTGCACACTTCCAAACGGCTCGCAGTCAGGTCGCACGTCAGGTGAAAGCTGCCCCTGCCCTTCGCTTGGAAGCCCAGAGAGGGCAAGAGCCTCACCAGGGTCACAGCCTGAGGCCCTGAGGGACTGGAGCCCTGCATTGCTCCACACTGCCCTCTGGGGGTGGAGGTGAGCGTGAGTCACGCCCTCAGCCCCCGGGAGACGATCCCGCGCAGATCACAGGCAGATCACAAGCAAACCCCAGGTCTGCACCGCGACAGTAAAAACCAACCGCGGTCACAAACAGGACTCTAGCACCCTGGGCAGCATCCCCGAGGCCCCAGCACAGGTGTCACCGGTGCTGTCCTCGAAAGAATGTGTTGCTTCTCGTCTGTCAAGTTTTACCTTGGTGTCTGTGTGGCCAGGTTGTGGAGTCTTCCTGAGGCACACTCGGCAAGTTCTCAGTTCAGACAACTGCCTGGGGGCGGAGGACTCTGCTGGTTAGATCGCAGGGCTTGACCACACACCCATAGCATAGGTTTGCTGTTGAGTTTTCTTAAACCCCATTTTCCAGATAAGGCTTAGAGAGATTCAATAACTTGTTAAGAGTTAAGTAAAGTAGTGGAAATGAAATGAGTTGGAACCCCTGGCTTGACTGTTTCTCATGGCTTTGGGCATCATGTGGGATGGCTCAGATGTTTTCCTGGCGATTCACATCCTTGTCACAGGCTCTGTTCTCATGCCGACATGTTCTGCTCCACTCTGGATGAACCCCTGCCTTTCTGGCCCTTTTAGAGCAGCCACTCTTTTTTCTTTCTTTCTTTTCTTTTTTTTTCTTCTTTTTGGTACTGGGGATCAAACTCAGGTTCTTGCACTTGGGAGGCAGATGGTGGCACCACTGAGCTAACTCCCCAGGCCACAGCCACTCTTTTCTGATCTCCAAGCCCCAGCCAGTCCAAGCACAGTCTTCACCTGTCCAGTTTGCTGAAATTAACCCACTCTGGACAAGGACCCTGGGAAACCAATTTTGTTAGAGAAAAAAATGTTTTAAATTTTGTTTCTGAGATAAACTCTCTAGAAAGAATCACTGAGCGAGAATTCAGAGCTGGAAGATTATCGTGAGTAGGCTGCATGCTGTGGGTGCCTGATTGTTCCTGACCTCGGGCCTGGCTGCTCACCACCCAGAAGCTAAAGCCTAAGAGACCAAGTGGCCTCATTGAAGATGCCAGTGACCCAGAAGGAGGGGAGAATTTCAGCTCTCACGTTCCTCTTTCTGAGGCCTTGGGGGAAGGAAGGGACATTTATATAGGGACTGGATTAGGAGCCCCATGCAGAAATCAGTACTTCCCCTGAACACGAGTCCTAGCGTCAGTTGTTGTCCAGAGCTGACGGCTTGTGACAGCCTGTTCCTGAGGGCCCTGTGCTCTGGGATGCAGAGTTAAGGCCACTTCCTGGCCATGAAGATGGGACTGGGAATAAAGCAAGACGGAATCCCTGGTGGCAACAGCCTGTTACTCTCTAGCCCTGTCAACAAACCCACAGCTGGGAGGCTGAGGCAGAAATGGCTTTGAGCTTGACATTCTCTCCACAGAGGCCACCTTCTTGGCCCATGTGCTGGGCCACAGATTGTTGGGCCAGCCCTTTGTCTTCCTGTGGGTCACAGGCCAATATTTCTCATTCTTTAGCTGAGGTGGTGAAGTCCAGAGTCTCCTGCACTCTGCTGTCATTAGCTGAGGTTTGGGGGCAAGTCACCAACACCACGAGAGCCTGACCTGTCTGTGTATAAAACCATCATGCCCCTGGCCCTGACGGTGTCCATCTGTTAGCTGTTGCCCACTTTCTGTGGAAAATCCCCCACAGCTCCAAATAAATCATGTCCTTGGAGTGAGGGATGCTGTTATGTATAAATCTGGGCTGGTTGAGTGCTCATAAAGTCTGAGTGTCCTTAAGAAGAGACACAAAACAGTGGCAAGGGCAAAAATTCACAGTGCTGTGCCCCCCAGATTAGATGAAGAGAAAGAAAAAGATAGATGTGTGTGTGTATGTGTGTGTGTGTGTGTGTGTGTGTGTGTGTGTGTGTGTAGTTCACCACGATGAACCAATAGTCAAACTTCTTACAGAACCAATAGTTTCAGTTCACAAAGAAAAATAGTATTGGGTGACGATCAGGTTAAAGTCTGGCTGAGTCAGGAACGCCGCACCCATCTCTCTTGAGAAAACTCCAAGGCCTGTTAGGACTGGAATCATCCGCCCCTCAGGTGTGTGGAGATCTGACCTTAGACAGATAAACTGTTCCTTTCCAAAACCAAAAAGTCCTGACTCCATTCTCCTCTGCCCCTAAAGCATACACTCCTAAACCTAACATGTGGCCAATAACGATGGGCCAAATATCCCAACTCCACCCTGGTTGCACCCCCACCGTACCCTATATAAGCCTGTGCATTTGCTGAATAAAGCGAAAATCTTCCAGAAACCTCCCTGTAGTTTGCGTGGTGATTCCTCAACTTGCCCTCCCAGTCCAGGCCCCCTGAACCCTGTTCCACGAGCGGGCTCGCGGACAACACAACAACTGGGGATGAGCATGTGTGAGTGTTACGGGGGATAGGTAAAAGGGGGTTTAAGTGTGATACAGAGTCCTCCCTGGATTTAAGGCTGGCTTTACTTAAGTGCAATGCTGAAGAGAACAGACTTGCCCTCTTTGCCTTGCCTCTTGGACAGCAATCTCTTATTCAGAGGTGGGTTTTTTAGTAGGTGGATAAAGTGTTCCTCTAGCTCCAGTCTCCTTTCATTCTCTTTAATTTCCAACAGATTCTGTATAGTTGGATGAGTGGAGAACAAAAGTGAAATCATCTAAGAAGAAACGCCCATGGATAAACTTTTAGACTAGTACTTTCTCCTCTAGGAGGAGGAGGAGGAGGAGAAAAAGAAAAAGAAGAAGAAGAAGAAGAATTTTCCTTCTGCAATGGACTCATTCATTAAACTCCACCCCTTCAAGAGAAACTATTTCCTACTTTAGCTGTCTATATGTTGAATCACACAGCCCCGCTGGGTAAAGGAGCTGCTACATCCGTTTCCCCACAGGAGCCTCTGTCTGGTAAGTCCCCCGCCTGCTGGGCAGCACAGCTTCTGTGAGGAGTAAAGGCCTTGACAGGAACCGAGAAAAGGCATCTGGCCAAACCAGGTGCTCATAGAACTATCTTCAAATGTAATCTTTATGATAAGGAAAGGGGTCAGGATTTAGAGTGAGTTTCGGAGTCTGATAGCATCACAGATACAAAACATGATTGGGAAAGGACTTCACGGGGGACACTATGGTTTCTTTGTATGTTTGTTTTTACAAACACCCCTCACTTCTCCAAGAAACCTCTCCAGGGAGAGGAGCCTTGGTGGAAATCTCAGCAAGGATCACCTCCAGCTGAGGGGATCTGAAACCTCACTCGGGCACCTCTGCCTGCGCCTCCACCAGAAGCCACATCTTGGTCTTGCTTTCCCCACCCCAGGGGAGGAGGGGACCCTAACCCCCGTCCAGACTGATATCAAATGGCTGCCACCGATGGCACCTCCCTCCAATGCATCTGTTCTACAGCATTTTCATGTCCGTGCCTATTCTCTGGCTCAGATTGTTAAGGTGAAATTTTTCTAGGTGCTTCTCCCAGCTGCCTGACCTGAGGTCCAAGGACCTCAGCATGAGAAGGACCAAGCAGCATGGAAGGATGTGGTCTGCTTGCACTCAAAACCCATTCCTCCACTGCTGTGTGGCTTTGGGCAGGCTCCTTATTTTCCCCCTCATTTCCTCTGTGCTCTGGTGTCCCTGTCTGCAAAGTGTGACTCACGTTACGGTTGTCTTAAGGATTAAACGGAGAAATGGGCAGGAGGCTTGGTTGGCACTGGCATCCAGAGCCTTGGACCTGTCTGCTCTTTGTGGCTCCTTTGTGGTGCCTGCTCTGTGGGCTCTGCAGGGCCAGCGGCCTGGATGTGGACTGAGACTGAGTGCACTTGGTCTGCCTTGGTTTCTTAAAATTGTATTGCAGCTTCGCCCACCCCTCACAGCCACAGAAAACAAGCGTTGATTTGGTGAGATGATGTCTTCCTCAATTTCAGCCCCAGCTGGGTCTGGGAGGTGGCAGAAAACCTTTGTTTTTGCTTTTTCCACTATAGAAGTTCATTGTAGGGACCAAACAGGGACCTCCACTAAGTACAGAAATCTGTATATCAAACAGGAAGGCCTGCAGGAGTGTGGAACACTCGCGTTCACAGCAGACCACTCGCTGCGCGTGCGCCAGTCTATAAACATCACTTTTTCCTTCTTCGCAGGGCAGGGCGAGATGGATAACCTAACGACAAGCCCCAGTTACGACATCGACTACGGCTTAGCAGAACCCTGCCAGAAAAGCGAGGTGAAGGGGATGGCGGCCCAGCTGCTGCCCCCGCTCTACGCGCTGGTGGTCGCCGTCGGCTTCGTGGGCAACGTCCTGGTCGTGCTCATCCTCGTCACCTGCAAGCGGCTCAGGAGCATGACCGACATCTTCCTGCTCAACCTGGCCGCCTCCGACCTGCTCTTCCTGCTCACGCTGCCCTTCTGGGCTCACTACGCCGCCGCCTCCCAGTGGACCTTCGGGGCCGCGGCCTGCAAACTGCTCACGGGGCTGTACCAGGTCGGCTACTTCGCGGGCATCTTCTTCATCATCCTCCTCACGGTCGACAGGTACCTGGCGATCGTCCACGCCGTGTTCGCTCTGAAAGCCAGGACGGTCACCTTCGGGGCGGCGCTCAGCGGGCTCACCTGGGTGGTGGCCGCGCTCGCTTCTCTCCCGGGAATCCTCTTCGCCACATCGCAGAAAGAAGCTTTCCACTTCACGTGCAGCCCTCGTTACTCGACCGAGCTGTACTACTTCTGGAAGGCCTTCCAGGCCCTGAAGATGGTCGTGCTGGGGCTGGTGCTGCCGCTGCTGGTCATGGTCGTGTGCTACTCGGGCATCCTGCGGACCCTGCTGCGGTGCCGGAACGAGAGGCGCAGGCACAAGGCCGTGAGGCTCATCTTCGCCATCATGATCGTCTACTTCCTCTTCTGGGCCCCGCACAATGTCGTGCTCCTCCTGAACACCTTCTCCGCGCCCGTGAACCTGAACAACTGCGACAGCTCCAACAGGCTGGACCGGGCCATGCAGGTGACGGAGACCCTGGGCATGACGCACTGCTGCGTGAACCCCGTGATCTATGCCTTCGTGGGGGAGAAGTTCCGCAGGTACCTCTCGGTGTTCTTCCGCAAGTACGTGGCCAAGGGCCTCTGCGGGCAGTGCCCGGTCTCCCGGGGAGACGGCCCTGAGCGCAGCAGCTCCGTCTACACCCGGTCCACCGGGGAGCAGGAGGTGTCCTTGGGCCTGTGACGCGGCCTGAGGTGCGGATGCCACTCGGCTTGTGTGCACAACTTGGGGGCCGGGAGCGGCTTTGAAAGAGGAAGTTACTGCCCCAGAGGGTGGGAGATCCGCCCATCCTTTGACACCTGCTCCAGTCTAGGGGAGCTTGGAAGCCCACGGACTCTAGAAAGCTGTGTCAAAATCTCCTGACGAACTGGAGACCTGGTTTCCCTCTGCTTATACCGAGTTATTGGCAAACTCTTCCTTTAGAGCAGAAGTTCACTGTAAAAATGTCCTCAGAGAATTGTTGATTCCTGCATCCTCGGGATCGATGATCTGAAAAGAAATAGCAAAGCTCATTGAGAAATACTGCACAGGGCCTTACCCTGTAAAAGGCAAATGCATAGGTGGTAAACGTGCTTAAAATAAGTCTTTGTGTCGCCGTGGAGGGAGATAGAAAGTGAGTAGTTGAGAAACAGTGTATTCTGGCTGTGACTACCCTCCAAGGTCTGGACAGCAGGCTGCACAGACTTCCATGACCAGGCAGGCGTCCTGTGTCCTGGCAGGGCTGGGAACGCTTCTCAGGGCAAGGGGACTTGAGCTGGGTCCTCTCTCGGTGGAGGAGCGGAGCTGCGGGCCTCGGGTGGCTGCTCCCCAGGAGGGAGGACACAGGGCGAGGGATGGGGCACAGGCAGCACTGCCCAGCAGAGTCATGGCCAAAAGCGCATCTCTTGGCCCCTGGGACAGGGGGAGGTGAGCGTGTGGAACAAGGAGACACAGCAAGGCCAGGGTGAGCACGGTCTCCGGGGTTCTGCACTTAGGATGTGGAATCGGCTCGACTTAGGCTGGATTTGGTTGGAGGTGAGTGCCCCAGAGGAGGCAGCGAGAACAGAACCCCTGGGCTCCATGCTGATGGAAAAAGACCCAGGGGAGTTGTGAAACGTGGAAGGAGGAGGAGGTTTGGACCAGAAGAGAGGGCTTGGTGTGAGAGGATGCGCTGGGGCGCAGCGGCACAGAGGGACTTGCGCATCTGTCCCTTGTCCCCTCCACCCCGGCCCGGGGCTCCTCCCAGGAGGAGCTGAAACTAGATTCGTGTGTGCAAGAGCCTGAGGTCTGGGGCACCGCAGAGCACCGTGAGCTGGAGGCCTGGAGTCCAGAACACCCCCCGGGGAGAAGAGGCCCCAGGGCAGAAAGAGCAGCACAGAGGACAGAGGCGCTGCGAGGGAGGACGGCAGGACCAGCTTCCTGGGTTCACCGGCCACCAGTCGAAGGGGGAAGTGACACGTTCATTTGGAAACCAGTTGCCTTGAGCCACAAAATCTACCCAGCTCCCTGTTTCCGGCGGGCGGAGAGCGGGGGCTCCGGGCAGCTTCTCCAGACGCCCTCTCTGACAAACGGCTCCCAAACACCAAGGGCTTTGTTCCCTTCGGGGAGACGCTGGCAGTGCGCTGTTGCTGCTGTCGGTGCAGCAGCGATGAGTTTTCACCTTCGCCGCAGTGGTTTTTGAATTCACAACTCAGAGCGGGAGAGGGAGGATGAGTGAGAACAACACAAGGGCTGAGGTCCCCTTGGGGTTAAGGTGTCAGAGGTGTCGCGAAGACTTCTCAGGACCTGAAACTAGAGCGTCGCGCGGGGTGCGGCACCGGCAGGAAGTGGACAGGTGGGGGACTGTCGAGAGCGTGGAGGGCCTGGGACCCCCGCCCGGGTCGCCCCTAAGGCCAGCGGCGTCTCCATGTGGACCTGTGTATTCTGGTGTGCACAGGAAGTCACCAGTCCCTCGGAAAACACGTGCATCTAATAAAAACCACCTTCTAAGTGTAACTGTATTTCTGGCTTCAGCCGAGTGTACATCTAGAGGCCAATGCCTGCAGCTGTCCAAGGAACTTCTAAGTTGCTTGTTTTGGAAAGCATCCTTTGGTCGACCTTAGTTTAAATAGCGGGTGGGGGAATATTTTTAAAAGTTGACTTTCTTCCTGATACAAATCGCCACAGTCATTTGTATTTAAAGGTGGAGTTTCTGAGCTGTGGATCTGAAAGCTTTTAAGTCTCAAAGGTAACTCTTCTCCCCCGGCAGAAGGGCCGGCAGGTCTTTAAAAGGAGAACGGAGACGAAGCGCAGCCTCTGTCCGGGAGTTTCCTGCACCGAGGTCAGCCCCTCATGTGCAGGGCGCTGTGAGTCACTATGAAGTTGATTTCCTTTCCTTTACAAGCCCTCCCCAAAGTTCAGTTTTAACTGCACTAGTGACAAAGGGTACATTTGGGTACCCTGAGAAAGGACAGGTGCCACTCGGGTGGAGGTGGCCACTCTGGGTCCATCCCCTACGGGGAACACAATGGTTTTGTCTACCGTGGGGCAGCAGATCCCGGGCAGCCGCCTCCAGAGTCAGCCGCGATCCTGCTCAGCCGTGCCTGAGAGAGGCAGAGGCCGAGACGGCTGGATCTGGGGCGGCTTCTCCCCGCCACACTCAAAGGATGGGCTCTCATGCCTCGGGGTCACAAGTGGGGTGAGACAGGAAGGGTAGGAGGCCACTGGGGCTACAGCAGGGGAAGAGGCAGCTGGGGCAGGGCCCTCTGTGATGAGGGCTGGACGGGCCGTGCCTGGCTATGCGATGCGTGCCCAGCTCCCCTGCTTTCCATCTCACCAGCGTGATCAAACCATCCCGTGAATGTGAAATACTTTTCATTTGTTCCAGGAAAGACACATTGCCATTAATCACCTCAAAATACCGTGCACCCCTCATTTCTAACACATTGGTCCCATCGTTCTTACTGCTTCCTGCAGCAGCTCTGGAGTCCTCTTTCCTAAGGGTCTTTGGCGGTGCTGTCGTGGCTGCCTCGTGTCCCGAATCCATTGCAAATGTTTCCTTTTCGTGGTCATTTTGTCACACAGTGCCACATCCAGTGAATAAGATGGGCGGGGGATACAATGTCATGTTTTTACAAGATGCCTGTCCATCGGCTGGTACTGGGCAGTGGCACTTACCCTACTTTTGATCACACTTTGAAACGACATTCATGAAGGAGGTCACCAGAGCAGCTCCAGAGAGTAGTAGGGACGATGGGATGAGTGTGTCCAGACTGAGGGAGGGGATTCTGAGGGCGATTCGTGGCAGTGTGTCTGTGACTGTAGTTCTTAAAGTTAAATGTTCGCCATATTTTTTTTACCAAACTTTGTATTTAATGTACTCAAAGTTGAGGTAAAGAAAAGCTCTCTGAGGGGTCAGCGGCCATTCCCACAGCCTTCCCCAAGAGCTCCCTACTCCCCATCACCCTCAGGACCTGACCCCACTGCCTACCTCCTGGGTGAGGAGATCCTGCCGCCTCCACCCAGGGGCCCTGTCCAGGAGGGCTACATACACACGTGGACAAACCAAAGTCAGGGTGACTGTCCCCAGCAAGGAGAGATAATGTACACATCCTTAAATTGGGATTCTGTGGACTTGTGTGTTCTGAGGGTTCTTAGTTTCAGCAGCTCTGAATTAAAATGCGCTGGTCTCGCCACTGTGAGGATTAAGTTCACAAGCCATTTATTTTCTTAGGCTTGTTTACAAGGCATTTATTTTCCATCAGAGGGCGAAACAGACCCCCAAATATGTCAGGACTTGCAAGCTTTCTGATGAAGCCCTAAGACTCATCCCCCGCCATCCTGGAAGCAAAGATGTGACCTATAGGACAGGTCCCCCCCTTTCCCCCGCTGCTCCTCCTCCACCCTCATTTATAGTCAGAGTTCCCAGGGCCCCCCTTGGCCTCAGGGATGAGGGGAGCAGAAGGGCAGAATGTAAGAGCATTTCCACCACTCCTTCACTTTGAAGTAAAATTCACCAGAAGAGTCTTGCCTGTACTTTCCCCAAAGATAGTCACACTTTAATATCTTAGATGAGACATTTCTTTCATAATTTTCTGTAAACATTCTTCTGGCTTCCTTACGTTGGGTTCCACACTGTCACTGCTCAGTCTGCCTGTAAATCCTATGTCACTGTGTTTGAGCAACAGCTTCTTAAGGTGAGGAGTCTTTTCAAACGCTCTGATGGAAAGGCGAACCTTGGCCTATGCTGCCCCCTGGAGGCCACATCCGCAAACCAGCAAGGGTGTCCCCGCCAGCTTTGACCAGAGATCACCAGCTGGGGGCGCTGGCTTCCTGTCAGCGGCAGTAGGCTCGGCTGGGGCCGGTGAGGCGCCCTGCCACCAAGGCCACCATGGTTTCTGCCGAGCAAGGGAGCATAGGCCGGTGCCTGTTGGAAAATGAAGGCTCCAGCAGACGCCGAGTCCCCACCCCCCCACATGGCCGCAGCGAAGCCAGTCTCCCTCAGCACCTGCTCTGACACCGTGGACCGTGACAGTGGCACGGGGACCCCTCACCAGCCATGTGCACTGCAGGCTCTTTGCCCTCCTGTTAGCGTCTGCTCTCCTAAGGGACCCGGAGTCACTTAGGACAGAACAGCCTATCCCCATTTTAAGAAGTTAAAAAGTCTTCCTCCTCCTCCATCCAGGTGCCCAACAAGGAGTAAGAAAAGACTACAGCAGGAGGGGCCACTAACGCGGTGGATTCGCATTTACACTTACTCACTGGTGGGACAACTCTTTACAGAGCACAAGCCCCGGGCCCTCTGCCTCTCCTCGTAGGGTCCGCACCGGTGCAGTCTCCTGTGTCACCGGGCCGTCTGGTCTTTGTCCTCAGGTGCTCTTCCCAGCTCTTCTTACACAGGAGAAACTGCACGGAAAAGAGCGCCTGCACCACAGCCCAGGGCCGGGGTTTCAGGGAACCCCGTGGGGAACACACACGGAAGGGGGGACGGCGAGGAGCGGACGGGCAGGGGGACAGCTGGAGAGAGGACACAGGGCTGACCTAGCACCCTGCTGAGGGCTGCCGGGGCAGTGCGCCAGGGCCGCCAGCGCAGCCTCAGGTCGGGCGGCTGTTCAGGTCAGGGAGCTGCGGGGGGACGAGAAAGAGGGGCCGGGGAGCACGAGGGGCGGCGGAGACTCGGCCTTGGGGAGAAGTGCGGCCGTAGATCCTGGGCTCTGTCAGAAATGCGGGTGTTGAACTCAGCAGAGCCCTGTGTAGACATCGACACCCAAGGACCGGGCAGTGGACACCACAGGGTGGAGCGGTGGTCTCAGAGGCCCACAGAGCCGGCCGCTCGGGTCCCTACACTCAGGCTCACCTGCTCACTGCTGACCGGACCAAATGAGGCCGGGGATCTTGGCACAAAGGAAGAAGGACTTATTCAAAGCTAGCTCTGAGGAAACGGAGGGGCCTCATCTCCCAAACCGCCATTTTCCTGAGCACAGGGGAGTTGTTGATAGCAAGGTACAGTGCAGGTAGGGACAGTGACACCACAGGCCTGTCCAGGCTTGCTTGGTTTGTTTTGATTTTTTGAGCTAGAGCTAACCTCCAACTCACAATGATCCTCCTGCCTCAGCCTTCCAGGGCCTGGGCCTGCCTGACCTGGGATTACAGGTGAGCACCACCACGTCCAGCTCAGGCTTGTTCAAACCTTCCGGCCCCGAACGCCTCCTCCCTTCCCTGTGGAAATGAAGCTGGACATGATGTCCTCCAGCGCCAGGCTGCATACTCTGTCCCGTCCCTCGGCTGAGGAGAGGCAGGCGGCAGCACAAGGTCATGGTGCCTAGGCAGCCTTGGCCGGTTCCTCCTCAGCCAGCTCTCAGCCAAGGGGCTCGGGTGGCATTTTCTCACACCCCACAGCTTTTGTCCCCAGGTTCTGGGCTCACTGGAGGGGACGGGGCGGCCTTGTGGTTCGGTTCAAGGGTCCTGACTTCCTGGGATGTCAGTGTCTGCCCAGAGCCCTCCCCGCGGGTGTGGCATCCTGAGATGGGAAGGAGATGGTGGCCTCAAACTCGCTCTTGGCCAGAAGTTAATTTTACTGAAGGAAAGATTTCCAAGTGAGGATGCTACATCGCATAATATTTTTTACTTCTGTTCATGAGAGAAGCATTTCTTTCCCATTGGTGGTGCAGTTCACCTTGACCAGTGTCTGGACTCAAACCTGGGACAGCTGGAGGAGTGGCCTGGGGTGCCGTCAGCTGCCCTGTGATCCTCCTGTCACACTCCCGTGGCTGTGATGAGTAACCAGCGACAACTCCGCTTGAGCAAGGGGCAGCGTGCCGCCTGGTGGGGTGGTGACTTCCTCCTGGGAAAGTCTTACCACACTGTGGCTTTGGAAATTTCAGTTTCTGTTTCTTCTTATTAAGGGGTCAACAAGAGTGTCAGGGCATCCAGAACCCTCCACCTGGATGGGACCTGCCCAGGCGCCACCTTGGGGGCCACTGCCCAGTGGGAGCAGAGCACAGACTCACGGGGGTGGCTGATGTGGGGTCTCCAGGGCACAGCCACTCCCCAGACTTCAAGGCAACCCTCCGTACGGGACCTGGATTATAATCCGTCAAGTTCCTGAGCATTTCCCTCTGGGGTGTCGTGTTGTAAGGATGGTGCCAGGATCTGCTCTGCTCACCAATCCCCGCAGGCCAGGCAAAGACCCTGGCACCTGGGTGATGTGTCCTTCCGGATCTGAGCAGGAACCAAACAGCACACCCAAGGGAGGCAGCAGAGGGAAGCTGAGAGGGGCGGACGCAGGGCCACTGCATGTGGGGTCCCTGCTGCTGCCCTCCATGCCCCATGTCCCACTAGAAGGGGCCTCTGAGGACACTGTGTGATGCTGTCCTCGGGTCAAGGGACAGAGTGGCCCACTGAGACCCCACCAGGTAGGAGCCAGGGCCGAATCCCCCAGACCTCCCCTCCAGCCTCCCACCCAGAGCTCCTTGCTGGCCTCAAACCCCTAAGACTCAGAAGAGCGTGAAATCTGCTGCTAGCGAGCGCGCTCCTAGACATGCATGGGGACAGGAGGCTGGAGAGCAGACGCAAGAGGAAAGGGGGACAGCTACAAGACAGAGATGTCTGTGACTTGAGCTGGCAGCCTATAATCCCCACAGCTGGGAGGCTGAGGCAGGAGTGAGGTCAAGGCCAGCCTGAACTGCATGCATGACCCTGTTTTAAAAATCAAAGGTCTGGACCAGGGATTTAGCTCAGTGTTTCGGTGGCCTGCCTTGCAAGCGCAAGGACCTGAGTTCAATCCCTGGTACCAAAATAAATAAATATCAAAGGTCTGTGGTGTATGTGTGTGAATAAATGAGCTACAATTATAAACGAAACTCACTGAAACACAGCTCAGTAGATAATTTAACATTTTGGTCACTGCCTGATATAGACAATCAAAGGTCATACACACAAATTCTTTTGTAAAAAGGCCACTAAACTCAAAGAATATGAGGACAAAAAACAAGTCCTTGGACTCGGAGAGATGGGAGCTGAGTGTGATCTCCTAATGATGCTAGAAGTTGGGAAAGATGGCTGGAGGGGCCCCTCACATGCAGAGGACAAGACGAAGTGGAGCCCACAGCCTCCGAGGCAGGGAATCCACTCTGGGAACCCAAGGCTGCACCCTGTGCTGAGAGAAGAGACCCCCTGCTCCAGGGGACTAGACAACTGTGGGTTCACTGTGTCGTTATCAGGCGAGTATGGGTTAACTAGTTACGCATGCACTTTGCAGAATGCACCTGGGTAGCCATGACAACTTCTGTATCTGCCACCCGAGGAGCAGGAGGGCAAGGGACTCAGCAAGTCCTGCCAGAACCAGATCCCTCTGCTCTGCTGTGTGGAAATCCTGCTCGCTCTATTCCCAGGGAAACGCCAGTGGGATTAAGCTTCATGGATGGAAAAAGAGCCACATAAGGGAGTGCAAACTTCCATTTGGGGCTCTCGAGACTCGGTGAGCCGCCGGCATTGTTAGAAGCCACATTTTTTGCTCCCATTTTCATGTTAAAGAGTTGTTTGTCCGGTGTTCTGCTTCAGTGCAATGCAAAGTCCAGTAACATCTGAACTTAGAGAGGCAGCCAAAGCAGTCCTGATGGGGAAGTTTATAGCAATAAACACCTACAAAACAGGAAAACAATCCAAAATAAACGATCCAACGTTACACCTCCAGGAACCAGAGAAAGACAAAGTAAGCCCAAACTTAGCAGAGGGAAGAAAATAACACAGATCAAAGCACAACTTTTAAAAAATAGCGACCAGATGACAAGAGAGAAGACCAGTAAGACTACAGGTTGTTTTTTGAAAAGATAAAATTCATGAATCTTTGGTTAGACTAACAAAGAAAAGGGGAAGACTCCAAGAGAATCAGAAATAAAAGAAGAAACACTTCTACTGATACTTCCAAAATACAAGGTTACTGTGAACAGCTACACAGCAAGAAATCATGGAACTGCAAAGAAATGGGTAAATTCCTAGGAACATACAAGGCAGAATCAGGAAGAAATAGAAAATCTGAGTAGAACAACAACAAAATAGAATATCAAATCACTAATAAGTCTGTCATCAATAAAAGCCCGACTCCATGGCCTCACTGCTGTAGTCTACCAAACATCTATAGAAGATCTAATATTAACCCTCCTTAAATGCTTCCAAAACAAATTTAAAAACAGGAAATACCTCCAAACTGACATTCTGAGATCAGCATTACCCTGATACCGAGGGCAGAAAGGACACAACAAGAAAGAAAACTACACACTGGTATCCCTGATAAATACAGCTGCAAAAATCCTCAAATACCAGGAAACTGAACTCAACCATGCATTTAAAAGATCACTCCACATGATAAAGTAGGATTTACACCAGGATGCGACATATAAATCCATAAGCCCAACACGCCATAGTAACAAAAGTGACCAACACCACACAGTCAGCTCAAGAATGCAAAAAAGGTATTGACCAAATTCAACTTCTATGCAGGTTAAAACTCTCCAAAAATAAGTTCAGAAGGAATAGCCTCCTTGCAATGAAGCACTCACGGGACAAGCCCAGGGTTCAAGCCAGAGCAATGGGAAGTTGAAAGCTTTTCCCTCTCTGGCCAGTTCCGGTCCACACCATGCAGGAGGGTCACAGCCAGAGCAGAAAGAATAAAAAGCCCTCACAGAGCAAAGGAAGCTGCACGACGCACTCCGTCTGGGGACAACACCGTCTTATTTACTGAAAACTCTGAAGACTGCACCCGAAAAGCTGTTAGAACTGATCAGTTCAGCAACTAGCAGGCAACAGAATCAATACACAGTAATAAGTAGCATTTCTATTTAGTACCATTGAACTATCTGAAGAGAAATGAAAAAAACAACCCCCTTCACAGCAGTATCCAAAAAATATGGAGGAATACAGTTATGCAAGGAGGGAAAAGATCTGCCTGCTGCAAACTGCAGGACACTGAGGAAAGCAACTGAAGCCACAGCAGACGGGGAGATGCACCAGGCCACTGGCTGGAGCGTTAGTGCCGCTAAATGTCTGTACCGCTCAGGGTGACTCCAGAATCCACAAAATCCTTATCAAAATATTAATGTCACTTTTCACCGAGCCAGAGAATAACTCCTAAAATTCACCTCAAACAGCCAACACAATCTTGACCAAAAAGAGCAAAACTGGAGGCATCGCACTCATTTTCAAAATCTATTGTAAGCAAAGCCACATGGTAGAGAGCTGGGGATTTAGCTCAAAGTCCTGAGTTCGATCCCCAGTACCAAAAAATCAAAAACAAAAACAAAGCAGTGAGGTAAATGGCACAAAGACAGATGTGATCTGGAGAGAGAGCCTGAAATAAGCACAGGTGCTCACAGCCCACTGTTATTGTTACAAATCCATCAGTGTCCACTGGTGTTTGCTTGTCTGCAGTACCAGGGATCAAACTCAGGACCTGGCACATGCAAGGCAGGCAAGGCGCCACTGAGCTACATCCCAGGCCCACAGCGTCCTCTGGTTTTCGACAAAGGTGCCAAGAACACAGAGCGGTGAAAGCACAGGCTCTGTTTGCCTGGAGCTGGAGAAACAGGAAATCTACAGGAAGGAGGAAAATAGATCTTCAACTCCCATTGCAGACACAAATCAACTCCTGAGGGTTAGAGCCTTTAAGACCTGAAGTTGGAAAGCTCCAGGAAGACATTGCGGGGATATCTCCACCACCTGGGGCTGAGCAGCGAGTTCCTGGCTACAGGTGCTGGGGGAAAAGCAAAAACAGGCAAATAGGAAGCACGCAAATCGAAGGGCTTCCTTCTGCGCAGCAAAGCAAGCGACTCCGGTAAAGCGGCAGCCCGTGGATGGGAGAGAATCCGTGTGAATCATACATTGCTTGTGAGGCTAACATGGGACTCGGCTCGATTGCAAGAAAACAAACAACTGAATTAAGAAACGGGCAAAGGAGCTGAGCAGATAGTTCTCAAAACTTACAGGTACAGGGACCAAGAGGTGTGCGAAAAAGTGGGAACTGCAGGGTGAAACCGCCGCGAAATGTCAACCCTGCCTGGTAGGACAGCTGCGGTGAGAGGACGCCGCCGGCAGGGACGGGGAAGAGGGCGTGAACTTAAACGAGTGGGGTGGGGCCGTGGCTCCGCCGAGAAGCGCGTAAATTACTACAGCCCTTTCAGAAAACAGTATGGCGCTTCCTCAAAAGACTAAAACTAGAATTACCCTATAATGCAGAAACCTCACTTCAAATCAAGAGATGTCTCATCCTGTGTTCATTTTCTCGTTATTTATTGTAGTCCAGCTATTTAAGCAGTCTGGGTGCCCATCGATAGAAGAAAACGTGGCATGCCTCCACGATGGAATAGCGTACTGTCTGGAAAAAAGAAGGAAGTGCTGACGTTATGCTCGGTCATGAGCATTTACAAAAAAAGTCAAGCAGAGAGGCCAATACTATGTGATCTCATTTAGATGAAATCTTTAAAAATCCATTTCAGAGTAGAAAGGTGATTACCAGAGGCTGGACAAGGGGAAGAATGGGAGAAAGAGTAGTGTAGACAAAAGGTTAAGACTCAGATGGAAGGGGTCAGTGTTACTGATCTGCTGACCTGTGTGGCGACCACAGTTAAAAACTGATGTCTAGTTCAGCAGCACTACAACAACAGACTTCTAAAATGCTCACACAAAAAGGAACCAGTGAAACGATGGGTAATAATATTCTAATAACAGTCGACAATTATTGTTTGTCAACTGAAAATAAATAAAGCAAAGAACAGAGGGGTTCTGCAATCCACGTTGGGAAACCTGCAGGCCTGTCTTCGTCAGGGAGGGCAGTGATGCGGAGGGGTCCTGCAGAAAAGAAACTCGCTTTATTTTTATGGCCCGGTTATTTTAAAACCTTCCTCCAGGAAGCCCACCTGCCTCTACACGTGTTTTAGCCCACTGCAGAGGGAAACACGCACTGGGGGTCGCTAACGCCTTCTCTTCCCCAAGGATGCCCGAAATCCAAACTTCCGGGATTGATTATCAGTGATTTGTATTTCAGAAGCATTCCCTCCCCCTCAGGGGTCCTGGCTGCTGGGAGGCTGAGGCAGGAAGGTGGGATTTCAGGCATGAGCCAGGGAGCAGGGGAAGCCTGGGGCTTGGTGGGACATTCTCAGGTTCCCAAGCTGGCGACCCGTGAGGGTTCGCTCCTTTGGTCCAATTCTCAACAAGGAACAACTAATCCAGCACAAACTTGTTTTCTAAAAGTTGTTTTGCACATTTTCATTTAGAAACACTGTTGTTTTTCAAGTTATAATAACTTACTTGGGGATGTCAGAGTCATGGAGTTTTCTCTTCCATACTTCTCAAATGTCCTGGAAAGTCACATTTGCTAATAAAAATTGACAGATTAGAAGACAGACAGACAGACAGATGACAGAGATAACCTGAAAGAACTGATATTTGAAGAAGCTGTTGGAAGGAAGGACCGTGTCTTACTTTTGTTATTTTAAACTTTTTTCAGTTTTGATTTTTTGTTTTGTTTTGTTTTTTGAGACAGGGTCTCACTATGTAGTTCAGACGGACCTGGAACTCACTGTGTAGCCCAGGCTGGTCTCGAACTCACAGAGATCCACCTGCCTCAGCCTCCCGAGTGCTGGGATGACAGGCGTGCACCACCCCCGGCTCAGTTTTGATCTTCTATCAGCACGCGTTGGCCATACGTGACAGCCGCGCTCCTGTGGGGCTGGTCCCTGTGCGCCGTGCATCTCGTTTCTTCTTTCCTCCCATCCCCTCCCCTCCCCTCCATCTCTCAGCCCCTTCCCTTCTTTCGCCCCATTTCTTACGATCCATCTTTTATTTTGCTCTTTAATCATGTATGCCTTGAGTTTCTCCTATAAGAGAAACCGTGTGATGTTTAAGCTTGTGTGTCTGCTCTATCTCACTTACCATTATGGTCCCGGGTGCACCCATTTTCCTATAAATGACTGAGTTTGTCCTTCTTTGTGGCAGAGTAGTACTCCGTGTCTTTACGGTTAGGTCTCTGAAAAGTGGCACCCACCACCCTAGCACTGTCCCATCCTGATGCCGAATTAAATTTACTCTCTATGGAATCAGCCTTCAGTCAAGAGACAGAGTCCACGCTGGTCTCTTCATGGTTGGCGTCAACTGTTTTAAAATTCACTCACAAAAGGGGATGAAGTACTAAGGACAGGAAGGACAGCTCCAGAGAACACAGGAGGGGCAGGAGTGGGGAGCAGCCCGGACCTCTCAGCGGAGCCCCGGGGAAGGAGTCACCCCGAAGCTGCCTTCCTCATGAGGTTGCCCAGACCTGGAGGAAGAGAAGGGCTGGCCCCAGGCCCTGTGCGGTCATGACGTATGCTGAGGGGCCGCAGCTTGGGACTGGTATGCGGGAACCGCCGAGGGGGCCGGGGAGAGGCCCAGCTCTATCAGGAAGCCATTCTCAGACGCCAGTTGACTCTGCTAAGAGGCTGCCCACCAGGGCGACCTCAAAATCGACAGGAAGCTTGGTGGTGCTGCCTCTGTTGGCCTCCTGTGGCTATAACTAAAAGCCCGGGGCTGGGAATTTCATAAAGAAAAGTTTGTGAGCTCTTCATTTTGAGGGTTCAAGGGCATAGTCCGCACAGCCCTGTCGTCTGGAGGGAGAAGGTGAGAGGGAGACGTCACACTGTGAGACACAAAGCCAGAAACCTCTCTGTCCGGGGAACTAACTGGGGTCCCCGAGAGCCATATCCGCTGCCATGAGTGGGGCCCACACAGGTTCCCACACGGCACCACGTCAGGGTTCCAGCTCCGCTCGATGCCACTGTGGAGGCCTGAGTAATTCCATATTGTAATAAAAGGCTCCATTTCATACTGGGCCTGACCTAAAATGAACCCAATCGTCCTGTGACTGCTGAGCAAAGCAAACTAGTTCCTGAGAAAACAACAGAATGCATAAAACCATTAGATAAGACCACCAGGCATCCTTGAAACTCGGCCACCCTGTACCAAACTTGAACCTTGGCCACCCCCATAGCTCACCACACCAACAACAGCCAAAAGGATTTAAATGTAATAACTAACCAATCATAATAGAGGTAAAGCTTGTTACTAAGACTAATGCATCCCAAACCCTATAAAAGCAGCTGAAAATTGCTCTTTGAGGTCTCCGATCTCTGACTGGCAGACCCACTGCATGCTGTGCTAATAAAGTGCTCTTGTGTGTTGCATACGTGAGCGGTGATTTTCTTGGGGACGCGCCGCTCGGGCACAACATTTGGGGGCTTGTCCGGGATCGACGCTGCCCCTCGAAGACCCCTACTGGGTTGAGCACTTAAACTTTAGAAACCGATCAGTGAGTACTTATTCACTTGTTCTCTCTTTTTTTTTTTTTTTTTTGCTTCTGTGTCCTTCTCTTCCTGTTAATGTCTGACAATTGTTTATCGGGTAACTGTGATCCGGATCATTTTGGAGGCTGGGAGGTCCAGGCAGATGTGCTGGTGGACTCCCCACCGCAGGCACAGGGAGACTTCCTTGCCCCTCTGGCAGGAACTCTGTCTCTCTGTTTACGAGGAGGGAGATTAATTTGTTTCCTCCTCAGGACCCTGAAGTACTTTCGGGGCCCTCTGATTTCAGGGAGGGGGATCTTCCAGTTCCCTCCTTAGGACCCTGAAGTTACTTCGGGGCCCTCTGGTCAAGACAGAGTGCTTCTGCTTTCAGAAGAGGAAATTAAGGGGATTCCCCGACAGAGTCCCTGGTTCTTCTTTCGCTTTGTTTGTCTTACATTCTGTTTGGCTCTTTTGTTCCCTTGTTTGTCTGTTTGCTTATATTGAATTTTCTGATAAAATGGAAGGGAGCTCATCTACCCCCTCACCTTGTTTTTTTAGACCATTTCCAGGAGGTCCGTCGGACTGCAGCTGACCTTGGACTCCACATAACTAAGAAAGAGATTGCAAAACAACCCAGCCTAGGAGTTGCTCAAACTTCTGCTCTGTGACAGTCAGATGCTAATGAAAACTATTTAGTTTTGGTAACACTTCTTGTACATTGCAAATTCTTAAACTGTGATTATAGGGTTAACTTGCTCTTTTCTAAAAACTCAAGGTTAATACTGTTCTATTGGCAGCCAGTCAAATTTTAAGATGTAACCATCTGAGAACAGAAAAAAGACACTTTAAGTTGAAGTTTGTTATAAAAGGTTTACATTTACAGTCAAGAAGAACTTTCATTCCTTTAACCCTAATTCTACAAGAGATCTCTGTTAATTTTGACCTGCAAAAATTTTGACTAGTCGTAACTAAAAGATTTTATAATTCAATTGGCCAAAACCATTTGAGTGCACTCTAGTTTAAATTGTCTTATATATTTGTCTGTCTAAATATACAAAAGTGTTTGTCAAATTATGTTTTTGATCAAAATGACGTCAAATACAAGTAGATTGTTGATTTCTACAAGCTGGCATTATAGGTTAAATAAAAAATTTTTTAAAGATAATTAAATATAAAACTTTAAGTTTGGGTACACTCCTGTTGGTGAATAAAAAAAGCAGCTGCTCAGAAAATTTATTCTGATCTTTATTCACTAATGGGAGCCCCCCAAATAAATTTCATAGCCTTATAAAAAGATGTGCTTTGTTAAATGTGTTGTCAAAGGTTATCATCAAAGGGCTGAGTTCTAAATATATTATTATAGCATGTTTATCTTCAAAATATTGCTACTTTTCTGGTATACAAAACTGTATTCACGTTTTTGACCATGCACCTTTTCCAGCATATTGTTTATGACAGTGACATTTGATCTAGGTATTCTCCCTTCTCTTCTGCTCCACCTACTTGTGGTTACAGGTACATCTATAGTTCCACCATTACCCCTGAACAGCTTAAAGCTGAGTTTTCATTTAGGAGACCAGATTGGGACCCCAATACTGAGGTAGGTAAGGCAAGGCTCTAATCTTACTGCCAGGCTCTATTGGGGGGGTCTCCAGGCTGCAGCGAGGCAGCCTACAAATTGATCCAAGGTAAGTCAGGTTAGACAGGGACCTGAAAAATCTCTGAATGCCTTTGTTAAAAGACTTCTGGAGGCATATAAGACATATACACCTCTAAACCCAGAAGAAGAAAAAAAACGGTCAGCAGTTTGCATGGCTTTCATCAGTCAGTCAGCTCCTGATATCTGGGGGAAAAAAAACTGCAGAAAATTAAAGGCTTTAAAGTTAAGAGGCTGAGCGAATTAATAGCAATAGCTGAAAAATTGTATAATAACAGGGACCCTCTGGAAGAGAGGCAGGCTAGAGGAATTACAAAAGTGTTGCTGGCCTCTTCAGATAGCCTTTAAAGGGACTGAGCATAAAGATTACAACTCAGGGAAAGAAAAATTGGGAACAAGACCCCGTGACAGATTGCTGAGAGATCAATGCACCTATTGCAAAAGATAAGACATTGGAAGCGTGAGTGCCCTCCACTGCTCAAAGAAAGGGGTACCAAGGAAACTAAGACAAAAGTTTTAGAGTTAACTGATTTAAATGACTAGAAAAAACAGGGTTCGGAGCCCCTCCCCAAAACCTGTGCACTTCCATGTAAATACGGGAGCCCAATATTCCATTAAAAAAGAGTCCTATGGGACCTATGTCCACAGAGTCTACATGGGCTCAAGGGGCCACCAGAACAAATAGACATGGACTACCAAGAGAACGGTGGACCTAGGAAAAAGAAACCAAGTGACCCACTCAGTCATGGTTATCCCCAGTCGCCCTTATCCCCTTATGGGAAGAGATTTATTAACTAAGGTGGGAGCTCACATTTATTTCAAAAAGGATGAAATAACTGTCTCTGATAAAAATAATGAGCCAATTCATGTTCTAACCCTAAATCTAACTGATGAATATGAGCTTGTACAAGAACTCCCATTGCCTAATGATCAAGAGCTACAAGCATCACTCTTTAAAAAATGGATAAAAGAAATTCCAGGAGTATGGGCAGAAATTGGGGGACCTGGACTTGCATGACACCATGCTCCGATAATCGTTCAGCTCAAGGCCCGTACCGCCCTGGTCCATGTTAAACGATATCTGATACCAGCAGATGGCGAAAAGGAAGTTATGCCCCACATCCGGAAACTAAAAGAGATGGGGATCTTAACCCATGCCAGTCCGCCCGGAACACGCCACTGCTCCCCATTGGGAAGCCAAACTCGGAGGACTACAGGCCAGTGCAAGACCTTCGAGAGGTAAATAAATGGGTGGAAGATATTCACCCCACTGTGCCTAACCCCTATACTCTTCTTAGCTCCTTACCCAAAACAGACAGATTTACATGGTGCTTGACTTAAAAGATGCTTTCTTCTGCCTCCCACTGGCAAAACAAAGCCAGCCCTTCTTCACCTTCGAGTGGACAGACCCGGGGAATGGATTCAGTGGACAATTAACTTGGACTCGACTCCCACAGGGATTCAAAGCCTTTCCCACCATCTTTGACGAGACGCTCCACGACGACCTGGGTGAGTACAGGACAATGTTCCCGGAAGTGACACTTCTACAGTATGTTGGGGATTTGTTATTGGCTACACAGACTATGGGAGAATGCACAAGGGCTACGGAGGCCTTTTACAGACCCTTGACAGGTTGGGTTATCGGGTTTGAAAGAAAGAAAGCCCACCTGTGCCAATCGGAAGTAACCTACTTAGGTTACATACTCAAGAGGGGACAATGCCACTTGTCCACAGCTCAGAAAGAAACCATCCTTCGGATTCCGCAACCAACAAATCACCGCGAGGTAAGAGTTCCTTGGGTCAGCAGAGTTTTGCAGACTTTGGACTCCTGGGTTCACTGAATTGGCAAAACCTCTATATGAGGCAACCAGGGGACAATCCCCGCTTCAATGGACAGTAGAAATGGGAAAGGCCTTTAAGGCTATAAAGTCTACTCTACTTAAGGCACCTGCCCTGGCTTTACCAGATGTCTCTAAACCCTTTCAACTATATATAGATGAACACAAAGGAATTGCAAAAGGAGTATTGACCCAGGCACTAGGCCCCTGGGAAAGGCCAGTGGCCTATTTGTCCAAAAAATCTTGATGCAGTGGCAGCCGGATGACCACCATGTTTGCACATTGTTGCCGCCGCAGCACTCCTGACCAAGGGTGCTGACAGACTGACCATGGGCCAGAATTTGACAATCACCACCCCACATGCTGTGGAGAGGATAATGGCGAGCCCTCCAGAAAGATGGATTTCAAATGCTAGATTAGTTCAATACCAGGCCTTACTTTTAAACCCTCAGCGAGTCCAATTTCAGACAGCAACAACTCTCAACCCGGCAACACTGCTACCAGATCCAGATTTAGAAGGTCCTCTACATGATTGTGAGACCATATTGCACAGCCTAAGGACAGAGTCAAATATGCCAGGGCAGCGGTGACTACAGAGACTAAGGTAACTTAGGCAGAAGCCCTACCTATTGGGACATCAGCTCAAAAGCTGAATTAATAGCCCTCACCAAAGCCCTCCAACTTGGAAAAAAAAGCTTTAAACATTTACATGGACAGTCGTTATGCATTCACAACCGTTCATGTTCATGGGGCCATATATCGAGAAAGAGGACTACTAACAGCCAAGAAAAAAAAAATCAAGAATAAACAAGAGATTTTAGACCTACTGGCTGCTATATGGTTACCCTATCATGTGGTTATCATGCACTGTTCCGGACATCAAAGAACTGGAGACTCAATAGCCCAAGGTAACAACAATTTTGCAGACCAAACGGCCAAGGATGCAGCAATAAGGCCTACGATGACATTGTCCCTTCGACCCAGCATAATAGAGCTTATACCGCAAAAAAAAAAAAAAAAAAAAAAAAAAACAAAAATAAAAAAAAAAAAAAAAAAAAAAAAAAAACCTAAATATGGAAAAATAGAGATACAATATGCAGAGTCATCAGGATATGAAAAACAGCAAAATGGCTGGTATGCTAATTCTCAGGGGCTATTTTTTTATCCACTTACTATGCACAAAGTTTGCTCCAACAGATACATTAGTCACATCTGGGAGAAAGAAAAATCAAAGAATTAATAAGAAAGTCCCATTTAAAGATCTTTGGCCTCAGACCGAAACTTAACCAAGTTATAAATGGATGTAAAGCTTGTAAGCTGGTTAATGCCAAACATGGATCTATGCAAACAGGAACAAGGATGAGAGGATCAAAACCTGGCATAAATTAGGAAATAGATTTTATGGAAATTAAGCCAGGTATGGATATAAATACTTATTAGTGTTCATAGATACCTTTTCTGGCTGGATAAAAACATATCCAACAAAACACGAGACAGTAAATATAGTTGTTAAAAAATTACTGGAAGAAATAATACCCAGATATGGACTGCCTTTGCTACTAGGATCTGACAATGGACTGCCTTCATCTCTCAGGTAATGCAAGGGTTAATTCAAATTTTGGAGACTAACTGGAAGTTCATCCCCAAAGTTCGGGACAGATAGAAAGGATGAATTGGACCTTAAAGGAGACCTTGATTAAATTAACCCTGGAGACTGGAGGTGCCTGGGTAACTCTCCTTCCCTATGCCCTTGTTAGGATACAAAATACTCCCTATGTTCTTAATTTAACCCCTTATAAAATTATGTATGCTAGGTCCCCACCTTTACAGGAATAACACCGTGACCAGAGGCCCATCCATTCCAGCCGAGTGATTCAATGCTGCTAAAGAGACATCGAACTGAGAACCTTGAACCCCGTTGGAAAGGGCCTCACACCATGATCCTTGTGACCCCATCGGCTATAAAGGTCGATGGGGTTCCAACATGAATTCATCACAACCATGTCAAGGCAACAGAGACAACGCCCCAAACGGACTAAAAAATCCAGTGACACCCAACCAACCCACTCAAGCTTTGGATAACAAAAAAAAGAGGCCAGACACCAAGGATAGATGCCCCCGATGCAAGGGACCAAAACATTAGAAACTGACTGCCATACATCTAATTTGTTTATTAGTTTTTGTCCCGACAGATCACTACTAGGGTGAGTCCACACCAGCCATTAAATGTGACCTGGACCATCTACAATACGATGACAGACACCATAGCAAATTCCACTTCCAAGCTGGCTTCCCCCACCACCTGGTTCGCGGACTTACTGGTTGACCTTTGCGACCTGGTCACCATGGATTGGGATCCGTCTGACCAACAGCCTTTTCCTGGATATGGATGCAAGACTCCAGGAGCTCGACGTGACACACGTAAGCAGTATTTCTATGTCTGTCCAGAAGCTTCACCAGAAGAAACGTGAATGTGGGGGGCCAGATCAGTTCTTCTGCAAAGCCTGGGGCTGCGAATCTGCAGGACGGATGACACGGCTGGCACCGGTCCAAAGTGACCTCATTACACATAGTACAGAGGCCTCTGGCTGTCGATGACAACAACCTTCGACAACTGCCAAAGTGACTTTACAACAAGTGTCTGGCCTAGGGGCACTTTGTGCTGGGATAATTCCAGCATCATCATGTAAGTCTCTATATAATCAAACTGTACCAACGGATACTGCTTGAGGATATCTTGTCCCCCCAATAACGCTTGGTGGAAATGTTCCTCAGGCCTAACTCCCTGCACTAATACCCGTGTGCTTAACTATACTTCCGATTTTTGTATCCTTGTTCAACTAGTACCCCATATTATATATTATACTGATGCAGAGTTTGCCCTTCGAATGCCAACAAGTAGCTCTCGCTCCAAGTGAAGAGTAATTTACTGATGTTCTGCTGTCCACTCTTTTGGGCCTTGGGGTAGCCGGTGCCATGGAAACAGGCACCTCTGCCTTGATTCTACAAGATAAAAATTATCAAGCTTTGCACATGGCCATAGACACAGATGTTGTTAGTCTTGAAGAGTCTATTTCTCATTTACAAGAGTCCCTGTCCTCCCTAGCTGAAGTTGTGCTTCAAAATAAGAAGGAGACTGGATCTTCTGTTTTTACAACAAGGGGATCTTTGTGCCACTTTACAGGAACAATGCTGTTTTTATGAAATCATTCAGGGGTGATGAGAGACTCTATGGCCCTATTAAAGAAATGACCCCATGACAGACAGTTACAAAATCAACAATCCCAAGGCTGGTATAAAATCTTGTTCAAAAATACCCCCTGGCTGACTACCCTGGTTTCGTCCTTAATAGGACCTTTAGTCATTTTAATTTTGCTACTAACCTTCGGCCCCTACATACTTAACAAACTAGTCACTTTTGTCAAAGAACGGATATCAACGGTCCAACTCATGGTGCTAAAATCACAGTACCAAGGAATTCCCCCAGAGATGGAAGATGTGATATATGAGCCCATGAGGAGCCCATGATGGAGCTCAAAGTTCCATACTCAAGGGGGGAATGTGGAGGCCAGAGTAACGCCATATTGTAATAAAAGGCTCCATTTCATACTGGGCCTGACCTAAAATGAACCCAATCGTCCTGTGACTGCTGAGCAAAGCAAACTAGTTCCTGAGAAAACGACAGAATATATAAAACCATTAGATAAGACCACCTGGCATCCTTGAAACTCAGCCAGCCCGTACCAACCTTGAACCTCGGCCACCCCCACAGCTCACCACACCAACAACAGCCAATAGGATTTAAATGTAATAACTAACCAATCATGATAGATGTAAAGCTTGTTACTAAGACTAATGCATCCCAAACCCTATAAAAGCAGCTTAAAACTGCTCTTCGAGGTGTCCAATCTCCGACTGGCAGACCCACTGCATGCTGTGCTAATAAAGTGCTCTTGTGTGTTGCATAGGTGAGCGGTGATCCTTCTTGGGGACGCGGCGCTCGGGCACAGCAGCCACCAGCCTGGGCCTGGCTTCCCACATGTGCACATGGAGGACAGAGACCACGTCCAAGTCGTGGACCTCAGCATCCACAAACACCGCCCAGTCTCCATACAGAACTGGCAAAGCAGCCCAAAGGGGACGAACAAACCCCATCCTGGAGCCCAAAGGAGAAACCCGCCTCTCGCAGAGACCTTCCCACCCCTGCTGCTCCAGCTGACAAAGGGGATGTGTGTGCGGGGTCCAACCCGAGAGTCCCAGCAAGCCCAAGCCGGCCCCTGGGCCTGTGTGCCCTGCTTCTCTTAACCGAAGGTCAATGCAATATGAAGGCTATTTCTGTGACTTCCATACGCTCACTGCCGAAGTTTCTACCACTGAGTGTCTTCAGTGTCCCTGACAGAAGAACTTGGTGACAAGAACGAACATTAATTATTGAAGGAAACTGTGGCTTCACCAGCTCCTGGTATGGGGCAATGGGTGTCCAAAGAGACATCCCTTTAGGCTGAAAAGCCCCGGACAAGGCCATGATGTGTATGTAGCCCTGGGACCGTGGTCTGACACCTCGGGGACTGTGAGCCTCCCTTCTTCTGAAAGGTATTTTGTCACAGTGACAGGAAGCTGACGGGCCGGACGACCCTGTCTGGGTTTGGGTGCAGGGATAGCAAAGGAACCTTCCCTCTTTCCCCAGCTTTGGAGTCCTAAGCCTTCCCATCCCACCACTGTAGAAGTTTCCAGAATCGCACAGCTTGGATGTAGAGACAGCACACTGGGAATTGAGCCAAAATAACAATACTGAAAGTAGACCGAGCTAATCAGAAAGCTGGGATGACCCTGAGTTAACACAGCAGTGCTTTCCTGGGGGAAACTTTTCAGACTTCCCAAAAGTGACACAGCAGGTGTGGTGCCCGCTGCTGCTCTTCCTCTCCAAGTACCCAGCCAAAGAGCACCACGTGCATGTGGGGCTGGTTCGCGCTGCCAAGTCTGAGGTGGCTTTGCTCTCCTGTTCTGAACTGCACGGCCGTGAGCGGCCCACTCGGCCCCCAGTGTCCTGGCGTGGCCCCTGTCCCCCAGCTGCAGGAGGGAGAGACCCCGAAGGGAACCACTGCCACCCCAGGGTGTCAGAGCTTCCCAGGACCCCAGTGACCACCACTGCCCCTCCCTGGGAGAGGCCCAGCTCACGTCCCCCAGCACCAGCCCACGTGCCCTCTTCCGCCTCCACGGGCTTCGGCGTTCAGCCATGCGTCGTCTGGGTCCTCTCGATTTTCATTTTCTCTTTATGGTTTCCCATGGCCAGCGTCCGTGAGGACAGGGACACTTTGTGTGCACCGCCACCTCGGCGGCAGCTCTGGTCGAGCAGAGGGAGCACATCCCGGATCCAAGAGGTCCACACTCAGCCAAAAGGTAGCGCAGGACACTCCCCAAGGAGATCGGGGACAGCTGTCGAGAGCCCTTGACCTGAGGTCACCCACATTTTTTTCACATCCTTTCAAGTTTCTCTTCTCATCCTCTTCCAAACCACCCACCCCTCCCGCATTCTCCCCAGTCCTAGCCAGGCTCTTTTCTCATGCTCACCAGACCTGCTGTCATCTCCCCAGCCATTTTTGGGTCCAGCTCCCCGAACCCCGCTCCGGCAGCCTCGGTGCTCCACAGCGCCCCCTTGTGTTTCCAGCTGTCAGGGTCAGTTCCTGGCCCTGCGGCCTGGGGCCTCCTTCCCTGGGGACACGGCCCGGGGCGAGGCTTCCCCACATTCTCTCTCAGGACCATGCCTCCGCCAGCCCACCCAGCCCCTCACAAGTGACCACAGAAACCCAGACTCAAGGCCGCCCAGCACGGCTTAGCTCAGGGCGGCTGCACGGCATGTGCAGTCAGGATCCGGGATGGACTTGTGCTGGCCCAGGACATTTTTCTCCCTATAGCTGCCGCTGCTTGGTGCTGCCTGCCCGGCCCGCGCCCCTCCTATCTGCCCCAGCAGGTGGGCGGCACCTCAGTGCCCTTATCGGGAGCAGCGGGTCAGCTGTCTGAGGCGAAGGCGTGGGGAAATCAAAGGCGGGGTGCAGCAGGGGAGGGCAAAACAACTTCCCGCTTTCTCTCAGAGGCCCAGAAGGCTGAGGAGGTCCCTGGCCTTTCAAGTTGCTTTCTTCCAGCTGCCAACGCCATCTGTAGAGGGAGGGCAGAGGCACTGGGGAGCCGCGCGGTGGCTTCCCCCGCCCCGGGGTCAGGAAAGTTCTGTGCAGCAGGAAGCAGCCCCCCAAGTTCCCACAGCCCCTCATGGGTGGCGGAGGGGCGGCTCCCTCCCCCGCCCCGGAACCCTGGAGCGGTGAGTCCTCTGCGTCCCCAGCTCTGTCCCTGTCTGCGGGCATGCTTTCACTTTTGCAAACATTTGTTTGTGTCCTTCAAGAGGAAACCATCTCAGCCTGCCACAGGAAGCTGGCTCGAGGGTGAGCGGATTTTCCCACCGTTGCAGGGGTTAAGCCTGCGCCCATTTCTCCCTTAAAATTAAGCCTCGGTAGCTTATTTTCTTTAACTGTTTGCTTCTGAGGTGACAGGTGCCGTCTCCCAGCTGCTGAGTCACTGCTCCGGGGCCCGGTCTGCGTTTCTGGAGTGTCTGTGTCCCTCTGGGAGGTGTAGGGGACGCTGGCTGAAGGGGGCTGGTGTGGCTGTCTGGGCTGACACAGGAAATGGCCTCTCGTTCCTCCGCAGGGCAGCCAGAGGATGGCTAACTACACAGTGGCCGAGGACGAGTACGACGTCCTCATAGACGGAGACCTGGGCGGTGAGGAGGCGGACGTCTGCGACGAGTCTGGAACCGCGGTCCTGTCGGCCCTGCAGGCTGGCCAGCTCTGTGCGGCCCTGTTCGCGGCCGGCCTCCTGGCCAACAGCTTGCTTCTGTTCATCCTGATCAAATACAAAGGACTCAGGCACGTGGAAAACATCTATTTTCTCAACGTGGCGCTGTCCAATTTGTGCCTCCTGCTCCCGCTGCCGTTCTGGGCCGCAGCGGCCTGGCGAGGGGGAGGCCTCGGCCGCCCCGTGTGTGGAGTTCTCCTCGCGCTCCAGTCCTTGGGGCTGCATGGGGAGGCTCTGTTCACCGTCCTCCTGACTGTGCATGCATCCCAGGTGAGAGGGCTGTCCGCGGGCCTCAGGACAGCGACCTGCGGCATTGCCTTGGCCCTGCTGGCCTGGCTGACGGCCTTTCTGGTGACTCTGCCTGAACTGGTGTTTTATAAACCCCCCGGGGATGAGCAGGTGTCCCTGTGCTCCTTTAGCAGCCCTGGCTTTCTGCCGGCGGAGGAGACTTCCTGGGCGCGAGTTCTGACTCTAAAGATGAACGCTGTGGTACTCTTGTTCCCACTGGTGGTTCTCCTGGGCGTCTGTCTGGGAAGGAGGAGCAGGCAGGAGCAGCGTGAGAGGTTCCAGCTCGTCTGTGCCATGGCCGTCGTCTTCCTCTTGATGTGGGCGCCCTACAATACCGTGCTTTTCCTGTCCGCTTTCAAAGAGTGCTTCTCCCTGCGCGGCTGCAAGAGCGACAGCCAACTGGACTCGGGCCTTCAGGTCGCCAAGCTCATCGCCACTGCGCACTGCTGGGCCAACCTCCCTCTGTGCGCGCTGCTGGACCCGGCTTTTCGGGGACACCTCTGCGGCCTGCTTCCTGGGTGTGGCCACAGCGGGCGCCAGCCCAGTGGCAGGGAATCTTTGGGGGACAGGGGCACACCCCGGGACAGCCAGGACCTGGCCACGAGACTCTGACCCACCTATGGAGGGCGTGACGTATACACGGTGACTTGGTCTCTGGTGGTTCTGTGCAGCCTTTTACACCTTTGCGTGTCAGATGGGAAACAGGGGAGGGTGGCACACGCACGTGCCAGGCTCTTCACACACCTGAACGCCTTCACTCCGCGCCCTGGGTGGGAGTGGCCCCATTGCTTCGAGCAGGAAACTGAGGCTCGGAACGGTGTCTGAGGCTGCACCACTAGAAGGGACCGGCCTGAGACGTGAGCTGGGTACGGCCTCCAGCAGAGCCTGTGCTTTATCCATGCATCCGACCGTCAGGCGCTAACCCACAAAATACACACAATAAATATGGGCTTTGAGCAGACGTGGCCAGTTCTACATTCGAAGCACCCCAATGGGACGAAAGCAGTTTTTCAGGCTCATTTTCTTGCAGTCATTAGAAGTGGCTGGCAAAGGCAGCTGGTTTTGTGCAAGTTCCCCAGGCTGCTCGCCACACCCAGGGCCCCGTCCAGCCAGCCGTGAGCCTCCCGGGGTGCTGGGTGCAGGGACTTCATCACAAAGGCGATGGGCCCGTGGCAAGTCGGCCAACAGCAAACGCAAAATGAGGTTTAGTGACAACTAACGAGAGAATGCTCTGACCTTTAAATATCGCACACCTCCGCCACACTGACCTGTGACTGCAGGACAGCGAGGCCCCCGCTTCTGCTCTGCCTCCGAGCTACGCACCAACCAACCGCAGGGTCGCAGCCACCTCGTCACCCAGGCTCAGTCCCCAGCCCGAGGGCTGCAGGGCGCTCTGTTCATCCTTGGTCCCAAAGCGCCTTCCTGTCTGCATCGCAGCCAGATTCTGGCTGCCTGCTCCCTTGAGACTCTCACCCTGGGCCTTTGAGTGTGCAAAGCCACCTCTGGGGGAACTCACAGCTGCTCCTGCAGACCCAGAGCCGAGGGTGGAAATTAATTTTATTTATTTATTTATTTTTGAGACAGGGTCTCACTATGTAGTTGAGACTGACCTGGAACTCACTATGTAGCCCAGGACTCGAACTCACAGTGATCCTCCTGCCTCAGCCTCCCGAGTGCTGGGATTACAGGTGTGCGCCACCACGCCCGGCTGGAAATTTAAATTGTAGATGTAAAACAAAGAAAATTTTGCTTTCCAAACCTCAGCATTCTGCACATACCACCCTGTCCCTGAAGGGCCCAGGTGCGCCCCCATGAAACCTGTTAGGGCAGCGGCCAAGACCCTCGAGGGCCCAGCTTGAGACCGGCTGCCTGGGCCCCAAGAGAGGGAGACTAGGGGAGGGGGGATGCAGGGAGCAGCTGTGTTACAATTGAAAGGGGGCAGTCGGGGAGCAGCCCGTTCCGAAGGCAAGCAGGGCCATAGATGAACAGAGCGAGGGAGGGAACAGTTCAGAGTGCAGTTCCTTAAAACCCTAAACTCACATCCACTTCACTCCTAAGTACTTACCCGAGGGGGACGAAAACACATGTCCATACACAGACTCCTACACCGTGGTCCACGACAACTGTATCTCGATAGCCCCCAACTGGAAACCATCCAGCTGGGCCTTAGTAGATGACAAACAGTGGTTAACTACATAAGCGAATACTACACATCGGCCAAAAAGGAGCAGGCTCCTGATTCACACAGCCACATGCGTGAAATCTCAAAAGGGTAAATGGAGGCAGCCATATTTAATTTAAAGGGGCACTCCATCATGCACGGTGGCGCACGCCTGTAATCCCAGCACTTGGGAGGCTGAGGCAGGAGGTCCCTCTGAGTTCAAGGTCAGCAAAACCCTGTCTCAAAATAAAATAAAATACTACTTACCTTATGACTATTTAGAAAATAAAGCTAATCCACAGTGACCCAAAAATCAATGTTTGCTGGGAAAGAGTTCCATTACAGGGAGTACAGGGAAAGGAGTCCGTGGTGGTATGTTTGCTCTTTAGGTATGGCGGTTGTTTTGCTGAGCTGGATGTAAGTCAGAAAGGAATTAAATGTATCCCCCAAATCCCTGAGACCTCCAGGCACCCAGGACATCACTGTGTCCCCACGTTTGCTGAGGGGCCCAGGGCCAGGTCTCTGCTCTGTCCCCAGCCGTGTGGTCACCCAGTGCTCAGGATGCCACAAACCCCCTCCCCCACTGCCACCCCGACGGGGAGGGGGACACTGCCAAGGAGACCCCGTGGTGACCGCGTGCCACTAAATGGCAAAGAAAAGCACCATGAAGATCAAGCAAGAGCCGGGGGGAAAATTATCCTAGCAGGTAGGAAAGGAGCCAGAAAAGTGCAGGGGAGATGGCGAAGGGGCAGGGCTGGCAGAGGCAGGTCCAGCTGCCCCTCCATGTCTGGGGGACAGTGGGGGCGAACCTGTGGCACCCGTGCCGCCTCAGGCACTCAGCCCTCTCTGTGGACACAGGAGCCAGGGCACCCCCACCCCATGGCCGAAGCTGAGCACGCGGGTGCGGGGGCAGGGTGGGCAACAAATGAGCAGGCTTTGGGTCGCCGTTTGGGTGCCCGGTCTCGGAAAAGTTCGCCATCAGTGTCCCAGGAGGTGCAGGCCGCAGAGGAAGTGGCTCCTGCTGCGGCGTGGACTCGGGGAGCGGTCTTGTCAGAGTTTTCAGTGGTGTACAGAGTCAAACTCCCAGAACTGGGACAGTGATTTCTGCGGGGCCTTGAGGAGTCAAGAGCAGGACAGGCGGAGGAGACCGTGTCGCTGGGATGCACACAGGGCACACTGGGAACACTAATAACCTGACGCAGCCCTCCTCCCCTGTCACGCCAGGCCGACAGGCAGTTCCCTAAAGATAAGAATAGCAGGCTGACCCCTGTCCCCAGCTACTGCTTAGAAAACGAGCCATCAGTGAAAGGCCTGAGAGAAGATAACCAGAAAAGCTGACAGAGCTTCTATTTTGCCTGCAAATTACTTTCCAGTGCCAAAAAAAAAAAAACAAAAAAAACAAAAAAAAAACAAAAAAAAAAAACATCCTACTGGATCAAGGGAATTCTTGTTAGGAACATTAAAGAGACAGATGGAAATCTCACAAGTCCTCCCCTGTCCTCCTCACACACGGGCCACATTTAAAATGGGAAAACCCCTTCTACAGGATGGAAAGTGATACAATTTCAAGTTGGAAAAAGCCACAGGGTGGCCCAGGTAAATCTGAATTTCAGCTAAGCAGCAAATTGCTTTGGGGTAGCAGTGTGTCCCACAAACAACAGAGCACTTATTGTTTATCTGAAATTCAACTTTAACTGGGTATCCTGTACTTTTCATGCCTATTTCTGGCAACTAGAACCCCAAAGAATTTGCTCATTTGTTTTTAATAAATCTTTTGTGACCACCTGGCTTAGGGCAAAGATTAATGACCCATGATTCCTTTCAGCAGGCAGCTAGGAATGATGCAATGGGACAGGTGCCACCCCAGCTGAGCCTCTCCTCACCCTGCCATCCCACGTGGCCACAGGGCACCGCCCTGAGCGACATCCGCTTCCTTCCGGGCAGCCCCTGCAGAGTTGGCAGAGAGGCCCCTTACCCTCAACCCACAGAGGGTGAGATTCAGGCCCCCGCTGACCTGTGGACCATTTTCCCAAGGGTCCTGAACATGATCCTTTAGGTTCTGGAAGATTCCTTCCCCATTGCTCTTATGTGCCCTGGAGTTTTAGCCCAGGTCCATTTTCACAGCGGCCCAGGAGATCCCTGAACAAACCCTGCAGTTATTTCCAGTTCTGAGGTGCAGAAACAGACACACAACACACTCAGGACACAACCTGGGTTCTCTGAGCCACAGAGGGGACCCGTACCACTGCCACAACGAGGACCCAAGCAGCGCCTTTGTCTGGAGGCGCGGGAGCGGGAACTGCAGCCGTGGGGTCCCCTCCCCTGAGCGCACCTTTGGTCAGCAGCATCCAGCGGACCTTGGAGGAGGGAGGCCCCTCCATGGACCCTGTAGACCGAGTCAAGAAGGGCGGGGTCAGCTGTGGTTTCAGGTAAGGTTTCGCAGCTGGGGCCCTCAGGCCTCCTCTGACACCTGCCATGCAGCTGTGAGGGGAGTTTTGCTCCTTCTCTCTAATCCCGTTAGCAAAGAGCACCGGAAGCTGTTTATTTTCAGCTGGCTCACCCAGCAGGGCACCCGTCCTATGCCTGGGGTGGGGAGCAGGGACCCCTCTGCCAGCCCAGCTGCTCCCAGAGAGGCCGCACATGTTGTGATCTGCCCCAGAGAGGGCTGCCTGCGCCCCCGGCCCTGCTCCTCCCTCCAAACTACTTTGTTCGGTTTTGTTTCCCCCACCAGTGGGCGCGAGCTAACCCCAGTGTTGTTTACTACGCTTTGCAAAATTGCGTGAGCAGCCTCACGGCACCAATGCTCTGGCGATGGCCCATTTCTCAGCGTCCACACTGGTCCCTGCTACGTGGAATCTGGTGTAGAAACCTCTCCCTCCCCAAGCAGCAGGCATTACGATTCCCGTGGGAGCTGGCTTCCTGTCCCCGCTGAGTTTGACATATGCCTAGAATCTGAGGGCAAAAGAGCTTTTCTTGTGTGGGCTCAGTGTGCTGCTGTTTAATGCAAAATGTCAATGGGAAAATGTTAGATACTTTATTATAAGCTTTTCAAAATAGGCTTATCGCATACTAGCATAAATAACAAGTTTCTCTGAAAAAAAGAAAATCAGTGCTTTCCAAAAGAAAAAAGTTTAGCGACAAGAAGAATCGATTTACATTTTTTGCAAATTCCTTTCATGTCTGGCTTCATGAAAGAAGCTGATTCTCCATCTCCCTCTGCGTCCACACAGTTAGAAAAGGAAATGTCTAATCATCGACAGAAAACTCCACCCGGGGACAACAAGAGAAGTAACTTCTTGGCATGGTTATGCAAACAGTTGGGCCTCGCAGAGCCACGAAACCGTGCACCTGGCGAACAGCTCAGGACGTGGACCAGAGTGGCTGGTGTTCTTCAAGTGCTCCCAAGTGGCACCAGTACCCTCCAGACTTTTCAAGCTCAAAATAGAATAAACAATTTTTTTAAGATTTCAGTAGGCTTCACGAAAGGTGCTAGGTAGCTCTGGGTGTGTTGTTCATTGGTAGAACACTTGCCAGGCATGTGCGGGGCCCTGGGTTTATTCCCAGTACCCCAAAAAGAAAAGGGGGGCTGGGGATAGAGATCAGCGGTAGAGCACTTGCCTAGCATACATGAGGTCCTGGGTTCAATCCCAAGCACTGGGAGGAAGGAAAGGA